CGCGTGACATCATAAAAAAAATTTTTTTTTTTTAGAATAAATTCAACTATGATAATAAGTAGGGAAAAGTTGATACTGATTGGCCTTTACAATTACATAAAAGTCTAGATAAAGCAAATACCAGTATTATATTATAAATTATATATATTTATTATTAATAAAAATTAATATAAAATATTTTGTAATAAAAAAAAAGGAAATTATTAAAAAAAAGATAATTTATATTTAAATGGACTAAAGCATTTGATCAATTGAAGATTTAATTTAATATTATTATGATTTTAGAAAAGACTTTAATTAATTTGCTATTAGATAAAGTTTATATAATCTTATTCAAAACATTTCTTTTACAAATGAAATTAGTTAATAATATATAAATATATCATCATAATTAAAAAAATTATTCTTGAATAATAAGACATTATTTTACATTCATAATTGAAAGATTATACTTTTAAGTTTTTAAGCCAAGCGATATAAATCACATAACCTCTATTAAATTCTCTTCTATACATAGAATTTGGTAGTCGCCACATCACAAATTCATTCATTTTTTCCAAAAATTCTAAATGAACTGTATCTGATCTAAGCTCTAACGCAATAATGACGATCGTTGGATAAAGATTTATACCATAAAGACAAATTTTAGTTAAAGTTTTAACAAAATCATCAATTATGAATTCATTATATATACAATCACTGGCAATTACAAAATCCCAATGATGTTGAAGGATTTCTTTATCAATTTCTTTTCCCCATGATAATTCTGTTACAATAACTTTTGAATAATCCTCATTTAAATTGCGTTTAACATTTTTCCAAAGGTGTGATAATACATTTGCTTGATCCGTTAATGCCATCAAATTAACTAAAGGAACTAGACTTATTCCTGCTAACCCACACCCTGAACCTAATTCAAGGATTTTTGTTTTTTCAATTGAAAGATTTAACCACGTTCGATGATCATTCATGAATTTTGTTAGCAAAATACTAGAGTCCCAAAGGACGGTTCCTGTTGAACCTCGTACTGAAAGAAGTGATTGATTCTGTGAAATCTTTACATTGATATTATCTAAAAGACAAATTTTTAAAATGAAATGATATTAGTGTATATTTTATGACACGTAAAAAAAAACCCCCAAGTTCAAAATCTCAACCATCGATTAAAACTTCAACATAATCTTTATTTTGTATTACTGCGCGATTGTGTTGCCATTCTAGTGGACGACCTTCTGTGAATAAAGAGAAAACTTCTTCATATGCATCATCGATTTCGATGCCATCTTGAGGTATAGAGACTGGGAGTATCAACTTTTCCCTACTTATTATCATAGTTGAATTTATTCTAAAAAAAAAAAATTTTTTTTATGATGTCACGCGGGTGATTATTATGAACATATCACAACTTCACGTTCATGTGAAATTTTATTTATTAATCGAAAATTAATGATTTTATTAATACATTCTTTGCAGAGTTAAATGAAATTTATTGCTAAAACGACAAATAAATAGTTTGATGAAAGTTTAAATATAATGAAAGAAAAATTAGTTAGATACTGAATTCTAAAATAATAATAATAATAATAATTATGATTATAATTATATGATTTATATGTATTAAAATATAACGTCGGCATCATCATTTTTTTCTAATAAATCCGCAGGTTGAGAATCATAATTTTGTGCATCTAGAATAAAATAGAATAATATAAGTAAATGCAATATATAGGTGTAAAATTAATTTATAATAATATTATGTTAGTACCACTTTCTCCGGCTTTAATTTGTCTCTCTTTCTCGGCGATTTGTTGGTCCTTCTTCTTTTTACCTTGAACCTTTTTAAGTCTTTAATGATGAAAAATATATTCGTTAAAAAAGTTTTCCCCCTTCCATCCCTTCCCTTATTAAATCTACGCGCACCTGAAGAATTCCTCACGATCTTGCTCATCCAGTTCAGAAATTATATATTTTATAGTGTTCTCTATCTTTGGTATGATAACGTGTTCGATAGCATTTACACGACGATTTGTTACCTTTATAACTTCATCCAAGATGACGAATGCAGTCTGTATATATGATTTGTATCAGAAATGAGTAAGATAAAATAATTCAGGAAAGAAAAAAAATATCATCGTAATATACATAATGTATATATATATGTATATATATTTTTTACCTGCAGGGAGGCCAACTCGACCAAAGCTTCGACAGCTTTAATATATGTTTCTTTGCTTTTCTGTACCTGCTGACCACCACGTCCGAGTCCCGTTAATTCGAAGGCTTTGTAGGCCAACATATAAATATTAATTGTTAAGTACATAATCAATACAATAAATCAATAACTGAAAACTTACCATTTCCTCCTTCCAAGTAACTCTCAAAAGTAGGTAACATCACTCCGGAAACATTTTCTTGTTTTGTGCGAACGCGAAATTGAGCACTTTTGACACTTTCTTGAACTTGATAACTTTTAACATGAAATGATTATTGCATATAGTAATTAGAAACAAACATGAAAAATTTGTGCCGTATTGACAATTACTTACCTAATATCACCTGCAATGTAAGTTACCTCTGCCAAAGAAAACGAAGCTGTTTGCATTACTTTACCCATTTTTCGTTTTGCCTATATTTTCATAAGATTTTTTTTTTTTAAAAAAAATTAGATTTGATGATTTTCATCACAAACGTTTAAAAATGATAAATTTCTCACTTCGTCGATTTTTTGAACGATAGATCTGAACCTTTTGGTGAGGGCTTCACTCTTACGTTTCAACAAACTGTGTCCTGTTTGTGCTCCCTTCAATTTTGTTTTCATGGTGGTTAAAGCCCTATGTAAAAGAATCAATTGTTAATGAAATCGGGAAGTCATATTGTACGTAAAAAATAAACATTTTTTTTACATGCGAGTAGGAAAAATATTGAGCCGAGCTCCTGTTCCCGACATTTTATGATTGAAATTAAAAATTTTTTTTTATTTGAAATACTATCCAAGTTCAGCCTTTTTATAAAAATACAAAAAAACGCATTTAGATGTCCACAAAAGATAACGATTACAGATGATCAATCAATCATTGTGGGATTGTCCAATGAATATCTAATTTTAATTAAGCTTGCACTAGATGTTCATAAAACGCAAGCATACTTAGATATTAATATTTTTCAAAACAAACGCGTTTGATCGTATGGAGATTTCAGATGTCACTGATTTCACTCCAAAACTAGACGCGTTTTTCATTTATTTATTATTGACATTTAATAAAATTTCGTAAATGAAATGGATAAAATTCCTAAATTTTTGTAATCGTTTATATCAAACGTTAAAGATTACAAATAAATAAGAACTTTTGATATATCCAAAGTGTTGAATTACCTTAAACTTAAAATGCGTTTTTTTTTTATAAAGTGCGAAAATTGGATAAATGTTACACGAAAAAAATGTGACAGATGACGATCGATTTTGAAACCAATCATAGGGAGTCTAAGATAAAGGAGCTTAAGTTCAAGTATCCCCCATGAATTTCAAGGTTTAATGTAGAACTTTCAATCATATTGTACTAATATTCCGCTAATTACAGCTCAAGTCGAGTCCAAAACAACTTTTATTACCACACAAGCGATCAATCCGAGACTTGGTAATACTGAAGGCACTGGCGAGTCTAAAACATTATAATATTCATTACCAACACCATTATACCGTTATGTTCTTCGAAAGAAAGAAAATTCTCTTTTTAGCGATCGTTTTTATGATTTTTTGTATATTGGCGGCGACGTCAGAATTGATAACTGAATCATCGCCTTTTGAAGAAGATAAAACTGGTACCTTTAAATTCGTAAATAATTTTTTTTTTTCTTGATTACGACAAATTTTATTTATTGACTAAAAAAATCCTTTTTACAGAAACCAAAAAATATATCATCACGTTCTACTCGGGAGTCTCAGAAGAAACAATAAATAATGTAAAGGAGCAAGTCGTGAACTCTGGTGGAATAATATATCAAGAATTCTTTATTATTAAAGGTTTCGCTGCAAAAATGAAAGTACCTCTTGTTCATACTTTGACCAAAGATTTCTCCAATATTCTATCTATGGAAGAGGATAGTGTCGGTTAGTGATTATTTAGATGATTTTATTTTTATTTTTCTATTGATATATTTAAAAAAAAAAAATACTTAATTTTATTTTATATATATAATTATTAGTACACGCAAGCTGAATAAATTTTGGTTCGTAGATAGATATCTTATTCCACGAATACGTAATTATGTTGTTTTATTATAGTGTAACAAATTAATGCTTTACTGCATTTACGCCATAATAAAGTATTATATTTGATATATATAAATTATTTTTGATCTGTATTACAAACAAACGAGAATAAACCCATTATTCTTTCTACTAAAAGTATATTTTGTTATGATGATTTTTTATGATAATATTCGTTACTTAAAATAACAGAAGTGTTAAATTAGGCAAATAAAATCTAGAGATGAAACTTTAGAGTATCTGTTTCAATTCTAAAAGAGACGGATTTGCAAATTCCGATAATCATTATGTTCATCATTTCATTATGTTGAAGTTTTTTTTTGGTATCAAAAGTTATTAAATTCATGTTTTGTTCTGGTTTTTTTAATGAGATCATCATTTTTAGTAAAATTTATTTCCTCTATTTGATTGGCAACTTTTCTAAATTTAACACATCTATTCAGAAGTTTAACGTATTACAACATGATAGATTACTAAGTACCTTTATGTTTTTTTTTTAAAAAAAAAAAAAAATAATACATCTCTCTTCTTTTTCCTTCTATCCCGAGATTTTATCGGTTATTACAAAGTCAAATATATGTTATTACTTTAAATAATATAATAATAACTATAAAATATCCGATACTATACTCATAATTTAGTTTATACATATATATAACAAAATACACTCCTTTACATATAATTATATGGAGATATAACAGTAATGTCTACGTTGACAATATTAGTTGGTCGATTTATGCCTGTGATAGTTTTATCACTCGTGGGTTATACATACTACGTCTTTGTATATCGGATATGTGGTAAGTTTAAAACGTCATTACACGTAACGCGTAATTTATATCATAAGAATTATTGAGAAAGTTCATTGTAAAACTTATCTTATTTTTTTTTTTCCATATAGTTAAACGTTTAATAAATTACAATAGAACTACACAAGCTGGTTAGGTTAAATTAATTAATGCTTAGAATTTCAACATTTAACGCGTTCTAACCTGTCTTAAAATTTTTTAGTGATATATCTGGTAATTTACAACATTTTGTTTATAATGACTTTACTATCATACGTTAAAGTTTTATTTCAAGATCCTGGATCACCTTCAAAAGTAAGCATTTGAGAGGATATATAAATATATTACAAGCATTCGGATTACTTATTAAAATTCATAATTTATCAGCCACAGAAACGTACACCGCAACAATCAAGTACGCAGTCGGAGAATGATGACACCATCAATGTATCCCAACCACAACCAACAGTACAATCAACATTTACTATTCATCATTTTAATCCTGTAACGAATCCAATAAATACATCAAATGCTGATGCTTTATTACAAATGGAAAATGCTTTTGTTAAAAGTAATGCTTCCCCTGCAACGGGAAATGTCACAACTTCCAACCTTCCAAATCCCCCTTCAAGTGTAATGATACCAATGCCAAGTACTTTTATAAGTAAAAGGGATGGAAGGTTAAGATGGTGTGATAGATGTAATTATGTGAAATCTGATCGGTGTCATCATTGTTCTGAATGCGATACGTGTGTGTTAAAAATGGATCATCATTGTCCGTGGGTTAACGGTTGCGTGGGTTATTTTAACTATAAATTTTTTTATTTGTTCATAGTATATACTTCATTATATGCAGATTATGCATTTGCTGC